ATTTGCAAACCACATATCTGACAAAGGACTGCTATGTAGACAATACCAAGAATTCTTAATATTCAACAGAAAAACAATTCAGTTAGAAAATGGGCAAAAGATATAAAGAGACATTTTACTTCACAGGATATACAGACGATAAAACACACGAAAGGATGCTCAATATTATCCATTAGGAATATGCAAATTAAACTACAAAGGAATGTCACTGCATACCTATCAGAATGGCTGATGTGAAAAATGGTGATAGCACTACATGCTGGCAAAGGGGAGAAACTATATTATGCATTCATTGCTAGTGGGACGGTAAAATGGTGCAGCCATTCTGGAAAAGAATATAGCGGTTTCTAATGAAACTAAACATGTAATTCCCATAATCAGCAATTGCACTCTTGCACATTTATTCCAGAAAAATGAAAACTCATGGGGCATGAATGTTTCATAGCAGCCTTATTTGTAATACTTCCAAACTAGAAACAACCTGGATATCCTTCAGTGGGTGCATGGTTGATCGATGGTCCATCCATGCCAGAGAATTCCAGTCAGCAATAAGAAGGAAATAACTCTTGATACCTTCAATGATTTGACTGAATCTCCAGAGAATTTTGCTGAGAAGAAAAAAAAAAAAAAAAAAGCTAATCATACCATATGATTCCATTTATATGACGTTCTGGAATGACAAAATTATGGAAATGCAGAACAGAATAGTGATTGCTAGCAGTTAGGGACAGATGGGAAGAGGATGGTAAGGCGAGGGGAGTAGGCGAGGCTGTAAAAAGGTAGCATGAGTGATCCTGTGGTTAGGGAACTATTCTTTTTAAAAAAATGTATATTTTATTGATTTTTTACAGAGAGGAAAGGAGAGGGATAGAGAGTTAGAAACATCGATGAGAGAGAATCATCGTTCAGCACACCCCACCCTAGGGATGTGCCGGCAACCAAGGTACATGCCCTTGACTGGAATTGAACCTGAGACCTTTCAGTCCGCAGGCCGACGCTCTGTCCACTGAGCCAAACCGGTTTTGGCTTTTTACCTTGCCTTTTTTTTTTTTTTTTTTTTTTTTTTTTTAAAGGCCCCGCACTGAGGATTGAGTCCACAACCTGGACATGTGCCCTGACTGGGAATAGAACTGTGACCTCTTGGTTCATAGGTGGGCACTCAACCACTGTGCCATGCTGGCTGGGCTGTCCTGCCCCCCCCCCCTTTTTTTTCTTTAAATCTTGCCCTTCTTAATGTTAATATCTTGGTTGTGATATAGTTCTTAGTTTTGCAAGATGCTACCATCGTGAGAAACCGAGTTAAGGGTACATAGGATTTCTCTGTATTCTTAAAACTGCAGGTAACCTGAAGTTATCTCAAACTAAAAAGTTTAATGAAGCTCTAGCTGGTTATGCTCAGTGGATAGAGCGTCAGATTGCAAAGCAAGGAGTCCCAGGTTCCATTCCGGTCAAGGGCACATACCTCTGTTGCAGGCTCCTCCCCTGCCTGCGTCCTGGTCGGGTGTGTGCAGGAAGCAACCAATCAATGTGTTTCTCTCACTTCGATATTTCTCTGTCTTTTCCTCTCTTCCACTCTCTCTAAAGATCAATGAAAAAAAAATCCTTGGGTGAGGATTAAAAAAAAAAGTTTAATTAAAAAGAAAAAATAAATCAGGGCTGCTACCATTAATGAAAAGAAATACCCATTATTAAAGCTACAGATCTTTCTAAGTACTTAAGTTCAATTTACAAATCTCATTATTTTTATAAATACTTATAAGAGGGATTTTAGAACTTGGTTAATTAAATTCCCCTTTGTCCTCTAAGCCCCATTAAAAAATTTTAGTATATTTATTTTCATTTCTAAATAGTTCACTTATCTGATTAACAAAAACCATTGGGTATTTAAACAATTTTTTACGTCTAATAAATAAACTGCTAAATATGGATAATCTTAGGTTTTTCTTTTTTTTTAAAATATATTTTATTGATTTTTTACAGAGAGGAAGGGAGGGAGATAGAGAGCTAGAAACGTCGATGAGAGAGAAATATCGACCAGCTGCCTCTTACACACCCCCTACCTGGGATGTGCCCGCAACCAAGGTACATGCCCTTGACCGGAATCGAACCCGGGACCTTTCAGTCCGCAGACCGACCCTCTATCCACTGAGCCAAACAGGTTTCGGCTAATCTTAGGTTTTTTATACGTACATACACATACATGTATTTTTACTGATTTCAGAGAGGAAAGGAGAGATAGATAGAAACATCAATGATGAGCCGAAGCCGGTTTGGCTCAGTGGTAGAGCGTCGGTCTACGGACTGAAAGGTCCCAGGTTCGATTCCGGTCAAGGGCATGTACATTGGTTGCGGGCACAACCCTGGTAGGGGGTGTGCAAGAGGCAGCTGGTCGATGTTTCTCTCTCATCGATGTTTCTAGCTCTCTATCTCTCTTCCTTCCTCTCTGTAAAAAAATCAATAAAATATATTAAAAAAAGAAGAAAAAAAAAAGAAACATCAATGATGAGAGAGAATCACTGATTGGCTGCCTCCTGCATGTCCCCTACTGGGAGGGTAGGAGGGGTAATTGAGTCCGCAACTCAGACATGTGCCCTTGGTCGGAATCGAACCTGGGACCCTTTAGTTCGCAGGCTGACACTATCCACTGAGCCACACAGCTAGGGCACCATCATTGATGTTTCTATCTCTCTCTTCCTCTCCTTTCCTCTCTGATATCAATAAAAATCTATTTAAAGCAAAACAAAACAATAATTACTACTAATAAAGTAGAAAAATCAATGACAAGCCGCTGCTATGGTGAGTGGCAGCTGCCTGGCTGGGTATTATCCTGACAAGCAACTACAAGTGCCAGAGTGTTTAGCAAGGTAGACTCTGTCACAACACAGGCACGCACGTGGCCATTTCCATGATGGGTAAGAATAAGGGACACAACACAATATGGTCTCCAATGGAAAGAGCCTAATTATTATTTTTTAAATATATATTTGTATTTATTTTTACTTTATTTTTATTCAGAGAGGAAGGGAGAGGGAGAGAGAGATGGAAACATCAATGGGGAGAGAGAGTCATGATCCGCTGCCCCTTGCACACTACACACTGGGGATCGAGCCCGTAACCCGGCCATGTGCCCTGACCGGGAATCGAACTGTGACCTCCTGGTTCATCGGTTGATGCCCAACCACTGAGCCATGCTGACTGGGCGAGCCTAATTGTTTTTTAACCCCATATTTATTTACCTATGTTATATTTACTATGTCAATGCATACCAAAAAGTTTATAGGAAAATGCAAAAAAAGAAAAAAAGAAAAAGAAAAAAAGAGGCCCCTAAAATCTGGAGGGGTTTGACACTGAGTCAGAGGCCAAGGTGACCCCTGTCCTACCGGACCTGTACGGGAACTGCTGCAGAGATGGGAGCTGCCACCCACCAGTGCCTGCCCTCACGTGCGCAGCCCATTCTGGCTATAGACTGCCTGTGATTAGAAGGATCTTTATTTTATTGAGACCAAATTATTATTCCCTGTAATTATGACCGTTGGTTCATGATTTGCCTTAAGATTAGATACATATGTCTGCTGAGCGACTACCAGGCAGGGGCCACATACAGCGTGGAGATGCTGGGCCAAAGGATGCTTCACGCCCCGGGCGGAATGGTCTGGATGGCGTGAGGTTTCATCACGCTTCTCAGAATAGTGAGCACTTTAAAACTTAGGAGTTGTTTATTTCTGGAATTTGCCATTATATATTTTTGGACCCTTGTTGACTGTGAGCAACTGAAACTACAGAAAGTTAAACCGTGGACAGTGGGGGTGGATACTGTACCGATAATTCTTAACGTTCACACAAAGTTATTTTAACTTACTTCGGTACTTAGTCTGAAGCTCTCCCAGGGCTGAAAGAAGGAATATCTGTGTGAAGGGAGCCGTGCTGCACGGAGGCAGGGGCTGTGGCGGGGCTGCATCCCGGTGGCTCGTCTCCTGCCCTGCATGCAGGACGTGTGGAGAGGACGCGGCGGCTCTGAGGCCGTGCCCTCCACAGGTCTTATTTTGATCAGAATTGTTTTCCTATATTCCTTTTCTGCAGGACCACACAGCTTATAGGTCTTTCAGAGACAGCCAGTTGGAGTTTTGTGTAGCTTCTGTGCTGATGGCGTGGTCCTGATTCCGGTTCTCAGGTCATTATAATAATAGCAGTGACAGCCGAAACCGGTTTGGCTCAATGGATGGAGCGTCAGCCTGGAGACTGAAGGGTCCCGGGTTCGATTCTGGTCAAGGGCATGTATCTTGGTTGTGGCACATCCTCAGTATGGTGTGTGCAAGAGGCAGCTGATTCTCTCTCATCGATGTTTCTAATTCTCTATCTATAAAAAATCAATAAAAATTAAAATAAATAAATAAATAAATAAATAAATAGCAGTGACAGCTAATAATGTGTATTCAGTTCTCCGTGCATGTTAGGTACTATTCCAAAACACTTTAACACGCTGTAACTTATTTAATTCCCATGACAGCCCTATCAGGCAGGCGTGATGATGATTTCTGTTCCACAGATGGGGCCACTGAGGGACAGAGAGATCGCGATTCATGCCCAAGGTCACACAGCTGATAGGAGGCAGAGCCTGGATTCGAACCCAGGCTGTCTGGCTCATTAGTTCTTGCTCTTGGCCCTTACCCTGTTTGAGCTTGCCACTGGCCAGGTTGGTGGGAGAGATTGAGGGCACGTGGCTGTTTCCTGTTCCTCTCTCCCCGCTCTGTTCGTACCACAGTCACTGGGCATGTGGAAGTTCCCTTGGCTTCTCCAGCCCTTATATCAAGGCCCAGAGTGGGACTTGGGAGCTTACTGAGGGATAGGAGTTTCATCCTTTGTCTCACACTCACACATTATGAAGTTGTCAGTGGCTAGGGCTGGGGCTTGAACCATCTTCCATGGACGGTGCATTCCTTGGGACCTGACCCAGGCCTGCTTCTACCCCCTAACTCTCTCTGCCCTTTACCATGCCCTAGTGTATCCCAAGTCTACCACATCGGTGAGATGCCACTCGAAGAATCCACAAGAGCCGTGCAAAGCGAAGTTGGACTCTGGGAAGAGCAAGTTCCGGCTAATGAGGGTATTTGGAGAATACTCCCCAGGTGCTGGGCCCAGGGCTGGGGCTTGGGGACCGCGGTAGCAAACACCCACCGAGCATTGTGGGAACCAATCAGGATCCCTTTCCATTCAGTGTGTTAGGGATGCAGTCTGTGGCTTAACCATCAAAAAATTCCCATAAATTCCTTTCATGGAGCACACTGCATTTTGAAACAAGGCTTAGAAGCTTGCTTTTAATTTTTCTACATCAGCTGACACAGTTTTGGATAATGAATTTTCTCATCACCCATTGTTTTATGTGGTTTGGGACAATGTGTCAAAGTATTTGAAATGAATAAAAGAAAGAGGGGGCTTTCATGTTTATAGCAAGAAGTAAAATATCGCCGAAACCAGTTTGGCTCAGTGGATAGAGCGTCGGTCTGCCGACTGGAGGCAGGGAGGGGATGGTTCCGGGTTCGATTCCGGTCAAGGGCATGTACATTGGTTGAGGGCACATCCCCAGTGGGGGGTGTGCAGGAGGCAGCTGATTGATATTTCTCTCTCATCGATGTTTCTAACTCTATCCTTCTCCCTTCCTCTCTGTGAAAAATCAATAAAAAATATTTTTTAAAAAAGAAGTAAATTACTAAGTACTGTAAGTACTATCAAATACTATAGAAGAATTCTTAACTTCTCCAGGAAAGTGTTTAATAGCTCAATGAGCAATGACTGCTATATAAAGAAATAGGGGGATATGTATTTGCTTTGAAACCTTTTTACCCCTTTGACCTTCAATTCTGCAAAAATGATTTAGAGGCCACCCAGCATTCTTAAAGGAGGAACTCATATTTCCGATGTTATTTTTATCCTGACTTTAGAAGGGTTCATGTATTTTTGTTTGATAAAAATGATGAACTTGGGCAATTTGGCTCTAAAACCTGTGCTACCAATTTCTGATAAAGTCTCATTCATTTGTTTACTTAGTCAACAAATATTTATGGAACACCTAGTGCCAAGCCCTGTTATAAGTGTGGTGATTCACTAGTGGTGTGGCCTCTGACATTAGGTAGGTCACATTCTACTGGGGGAGACAGACAATAAGACAAATATGGAATACTAGAGGCCCAGGCTCGAAATTCATGCATGGGTAGAGTCCCTAGTGCTGCCAGGTGCCTTTCTTCCTTACTCACCGCCCTCTGGTGGTCAGCGCACATCTTAGTGAGTGATCAAACTCCCAGTTGGTCAAACTCCCAAGGGGACACTTTGCATATTATGCTTTTATATATATAGATGTGTGGTGATGCTAACTGCTATGAAGAGGCATAAAGATAATGTTTGGGGACACAGAGGAGGGAGTGACTGTGACTGTTTCAGATGGGGTGGTCAGGGAAGGCTGCTAAGGTGGTAATATCTGAGGGAAGAAGGTTCCGGGTAGAGGAACCTCAGTGCAGGGGCCCTGAGGTTGGTGTGAGGTCAGTGTGGCTGGAGCAGTTGATGCCCTTGGCCTGAATCGAACGTGCAACCCTTCTGTCTGTGGCCAAAGCTCTAACCACTGAACCAAGCTGGCTAGGGTGATAAATGAATGTTAAAAACCCAGAGAACAGGCCCTCATCAGTGTATTCAACTCATACCTCTGGAGATCTTGGTAATGTCCCATGTGCTGACTGTGACATTTTATTTTATAAACACATTTTTTATTGATTTCAGAGAGGATGGGAGAGGGAGATAGAAACATCCACGATGAGATAGAATCATTGACCGGCTGCCTCCTGCACGCCCTACACCGGGGATTGAGCCCTCAACCCCGGAATGTGCCCTTGACTGGAATTGAACCTGGGACCCTTCAGACTGCAGGCTGATGCTCTATCCACTGAGCCACACAGCTGGGGCTGGCTGTGACATTTTAGTGGGGGACACAGAAACTAGGTAATAAGAAAAATATCAGTTACGTTGATTGTTGATAAGCTCTAGGGGGAAAATACATTGGAAAAGGGGAGACATAATTATAAGCTATAATTAATACCATAATTACAGATTGGATAAGGCTCAGGAAGGAAGCAAAGAAGGGTCTCTATTCTAGATCTGGTGGTCAGAGAAAAATCCATTTCCAGGGCATAGGTCTATGGTGTATCTAAACCACTGGGAGTCCTAGCCGGTTTGGTTCAGCGGGCAGAGCGTTGGCCTGAGTGGGGCGTGTTAAAAGTAAGACTCCTGGTGCCAACCCCAGTGATGCTGGCTTAGTGGACCTGAGACTCGGAGACTGGCATTTTTCACAAGATGCTCTGGTCCCTGTGGGCCATATTTGGATATTTTGGTGTGGAGATGTGGAGGCAGGATAGTGGCGTGGGCCCTGGCTGGTGTTCTCAATGGTTAGAGCATTGGTGCATGGGTTTGATTCCCGGTTAAAGGCACATAGTGAGGTTGCAGGATCATCGCTGGCCCTGGTTGTGGCATGTGCGGGAGGCTACCAATCGATGTGTCTCTCTCATCAATGTTGCTCTCTCTTTCTCCCTCTTTGACTCTCCATCCCTTCCTTCCATTCTCTAAAAATCAGTGGAAGAACTATTCTTCTGAGGAGTAAGAACAACAACAAAAAGATTGTGGAGTGGTTAGGAGCCCAACTTCAAGGATATGTGTGACCTTGGATAACTTACTGAACCTCTCTGACTCTCGGTTTCTGCTTCTATAAAGTGGAACTAATAATAGTGCCAAGTGAGATAGTTTTTATAATGTGCTTAATACAGTTTTGGCACATAATAAATACATAGCTTTGCCCTATTATTCTAAAAAAAATACATTTTATTGATTTTTTTTACAGAGAGGAAGGGAGAAGGAGTGGGATAGAGAGTTAGAAACATCGATGAGAGAAACATTGATCAGTTGCTTTCTGCACACTCCCTTCTGGGGATGTGCCCCCAACCAAGGTACATGCCCTTGATTGGAATCGAACCTGGGATCCTTCAGTCTGCAGGCCAACGCTCTATTCATTGAGCAAACCAGTTAGGGCTGCCCTATTATTCTTATTATTATCTGAGTAATATGAAAGCTGAGGACTAGTAATGAATGGGGGTTCTAGCAAAGGACAGAGAAATAAGGAAAAAGAGAAGGAACGAAGAAGAGGGCACAGAGGAATGGCAGAGCGGAGGGTTAGAGCTGGCGAGAATAGCATCAGCTCCTGTTCATTGAGAGCACGCTGAGTATGTGAGACTTGCCACTAAGTGGCTTGATTGTGAACATGATCTCACCGATTTTTTTACAGCAGCTCTCTGAGAGGGCAGTGGTTATCTATGTTTGAAATCGATGTGAGCTCTGGGAGTCTAATTTGCCTGGTTTCCCCTTAGGTGGTAAGTGCCAGAGCTGGGATTTTTGTTGTTGTTAATCCTCACTGGAGGATATTTTCCATTGATTTTTAGAGAGAGTGGAAGGGAGAGGGAGAGAGAAAGAGAGCGAGAGTGAGAGTGAGAGCGAGAGAGCGAGTGAGCGACAGGGAGGGGGAGAGAGAGAGAGAGAGAGAGAGAGAGAGAGAGAGAGAGAGAGAGAGAGAGAAACATTGATGTGAGAGTCACATTGCTTGGTTGCCTCCTGCAGGACCTCTTATTGGGGGGCCTGGAATATAATGTGCAACCCAGGTATGTGCCCTTGGCCGGGAATCGAATCCAAGACCCTTCGGTGTGTGGGCTGTTACACTCTAACCACTGAGAACACTGGCTAGTGCCACACCTGGGATTTGAAGCAAGGTATGTTTTGGCCTAACATCCACGTGTTAATCACTTTGAGGTTCAGCCACGCCTTGCAGCTTTAAGCCCATGCAGTTCCTTTCTTAGTGTAGTGGAAAGACAGGCACAGTCAGAAGTCTGCCTTTCCGGTTCCTCTGACCCCACTCCCTGGCTGTGTGACTTTGGGCAAGTCACCTAACCTGTCTGAGCTTACACCTACCAATGAAATAGTTAGTAAGCATAGGGCTGTTAGAGGATGACCTGATACCATGTACCATGTACCAAATGAGGCACAATGTGAAACCCATAGGAGGTCCTCAACAATCGTTATTGCTGCTGCTGTTGTGATTATTGTACTTGCTGAGGGTGACTTAAGCCCTTCTACCCTCATTGTTTCCCCAGGGGCTTTGTATGAAATGAGAGATTACTCGCTTCAGCTGCCTGATGAAAAATGTTAGCAATCATCATCCACTCTGCCTCCCCGCTTCTCCAGACATGGTCCATTACCTCTGCCACCTTTACCTGCCTGGGCATTTTCTGTTTTTATAATAATTATTATTATTTCTTTAAATTGATTTTTTACAGAGAGTAAGGGAGAGAGATAGAGAGCTAGAAACGTCAATGAGAGAGAAACATCGACCAGCTGCCTCTTGCACACCCCCTACTGGGGATGTGCCCGCAACCAAGGTACATGCCCTTGACCGGAATCGAACCCGGGACCTTTCAGTCCGCAGACTGACGCTCTACCACTGAGCCAAACCGGTTTCGGCTGTTTTTATAATTATTATTACTACCATACTTCATTAATTTTAGGAAGCTACTGATGATAAACCGCACCTTTATTTTACTTATTCACTAATAAAATATTTGTCAATTAGATTGAGACAGGCATCAACTGTAAGATGCGTTCTCAGTTCAGAGAAGTAAAATTATGGGGAAATGGCTATTTCAGAATGGAAGAAATAGTTGGCTGTTCTGTGACCCGCTGACAATGGGGAACCGCCTCCCCGCATGGGTCGCATTTACCAGTCGAGGCCACTAGGGGGCAAGCGTGGGACCAGAGGGAAGTGGTCCCTAGGCTCAGGGATGCGCAGGCCGCCCCGCCCAACGCAGCACCACCTCCTCCGTCCGCCCACAGACGTTGATCAGGAGCCGACGAACCTCACTCCAGGAGCTTTACAATCAGGAGAACTTCCTCACCAAGCTCAATCAAGAACTGATCAATATCATCAAGGACATGGAAGACAGCTCAGCCCTGAAAACACGCGGGATGCTGCAGCAGCAGGACATCTTTGGGGTGAGGCTCCACCTTGGCCCTGCAGCCCCGCCTCTGTCTTCCCCGCCCTTCTGAGCGCTTTGGCGCCCTCTCCTGGTCCCCTGGCCGGTTGCACAGCTGCTGCTTCCATCTGGAAGACACATCTCTTAGACACACGGCCCCACCTACCAGGGCTTTGGAATCAGGCCTGGATGGGGGCTCATCCTAACGTCAGTACTAATTAGCTGAGAGACTTTGAGTTAACCTCTGAGAGGTGTAAAATAGGGCTCAACAGCACCCATTCCCAGGAGTGGTTGAGGTGTACTTGGTACACACACAGCAGATGTGCAGGAGAAAGTAGCTGCTGCCATCACCAGCAGCAAATACTTACACAGTGCAATACCAAGAGCTTTGTACATTCTCAAGTAGACTTACAACAACCCTGTGAGCTGGGTATTTATTATTATCCTTATTTTACATATGAAGATATAGAAGCATAGGCGAGGTGACTTGGTCAAGGTCAGTTTAAGGTCACCCAGCTAGCAGGATCTATGTTCCTTCCACCAGCTGTGATTACGCTCTCATCCAGTGGGGGTATTCCGCCCAAGGAACTTAGTAGAATGTTCTCCATTTCTAAAGTCATCGTCCCTCTCCTATGTCATGGATTAATGAATACATTTTTTTTACATTAATTTTACATTAATACATTTCCCTGAGTACTTGGGAAACAGTGATCAGTGGACCCTCTTGTCCATCTCAAGCTCTCATTCTAGTGGGGTCCCAGGCAGTTGGAAAGCCATTTGTGTGTACTGATGGGGATGAATGGCTCAGAGCTTAGTGGATCTCTCTAACCCAGACCGGGAGCTTCGGGAGGGCTTTCTGGAGGAAGTGGTGCTTGGGTTGAAACATGCAGACATAGGCATTAACTGGTAGAGAGCAGAAAAGTGTCCCAGGCAGAGGAAATGGGTATAAAAGGCCTGGGGTGAGAAGGAGCCACATGTTGCTTAGTGTGGCTAGACAGTGTTACGCCCAGACTTCGTGATCCCCAAGGACCACCAGGGAGCCGAGTCCGATGCAATAAACAAAAGAGCCTTTTCCATGCTAGCATGGGCTCTGTCCCACTCATGCCGGCAGCGTGGTGGAAGAGAGAGCGAATTTCGCCCAGTCCAGGGGTTTTACTCCGGTCGGTGGTGATGTCACTGCCTCGGCTAACCCTGATTGGTTGGGTGAGGGCTGGGGTCCAGCCACAGAATGGGGGATAACGCCGCCCTGCCCCACAGTGGAGTCAGGAGCCCATCCTCCCCCCGCCCTGCCCTCTCAACAGTAAGATGTGAGGAAGGGATCAGGGGAGAGGAGGTTTGGCCCAGGCCGGGGGGAGGAGGGCTTTGCCAGACAAGGAAAGGGGGGTGGGCCTTATTTACAGGGCTGAGGGGAGCCATTGGACAGTTCTTACAGGAGAGGGAAAAAGGCCACTGTTTTTTAAAGAAAGATTATTCTGACTGCTGTGTGGAGCATTACTCAAAGGAGAGGACCAGTCGGGGGTAGCTCTTGTCATATTTCAGACAGCTGTTGGAGAAAACTTAAGATAGTGGCAGCAGGGATGGAGAGAAGGGTGTGGCTGTGAGCGCTGTTTGGGGTATAAAAGCCATACCACTTGGCGACATTTTGAGTGAGAGAGGGGAGGAGAGGCTGATGCCGGGGTTTGGGCCGTGTGCCTGGTGTGTGGTAGGGCCATTGGCTGATTGGGTGGTAGGAAAGGGGAATGTCAGGAAGGGTAGGGTAGTAGGTGGAAAGGTTCCTGGGCCTGGGAGTGGGACTGGGTTTGAGGACTCCTCTGATTCCCTGAGAGACCATGCTCTTGGGGCTGGGGGAGGCGAGCTGACCCCACCACTCCCACAGATCATCATCAACAGCTTGGGGTGCTCAAACAAGAAGAAGCTGAAGCAGATGACATGTGAGCTGCAGGAGTGGAAGGAGAGGGAGGAATCCAAGATGAGCTGTAAGAATCCACTCCTTGATCCTCCCCTGGGCCTCTGGGGAGGTCAGCTGCAGGGCACTGCCCCTGTGCCTGCTGTGCTGGAACCAGCAGGCCCATCACCTCCCTTCTTAGGCAGATGGGATTGTTAACACCCAGAGCTAATAGCTTGCTTATGGAGCCTTTAGCACTTCCAGGTCTTCATTTCTATGAGCGAACTCTCAGTCATTACAGCTATCTGAGAGGGAGGGAATATTCTCCCATTTCACAGATGAGGAAACGGAGGCTAAGAGAATTGAAGGAGCCTGCCGAAGGCTATACAGCTAGGAACCAGCATCCCATCCAGGCCTGCCTCTGTTTCCTGCCCAGTTCTCTGTGGGAGCTGGGGCCTGGGCCGGGTCCCAGGTCTCCCGGTCTCTCTCGTGCTGGGCCTGTGGCTTCATTCCCCTGAGCAGACTAGCAGCCTTCAGGGCGGAGGGACGGTGTGGGGCGTCAGAAAGCATCAGATAGTGGGGATCCCTTCCCAGGAGGACAGCAGGATAGACTTTGTGGCTGTGTCTTGGGAGCCAGTGTTGCCCCCTCTCCCTGGGCTGGAACTGCAGAGTGAGTACGAGGGGACGGAAGTCCATGGAGGGAGGTCTTGGTGAGGGTCACAGAGCAAGTTGCTGATAGAGCTGGGACTAGTCTCGGGATCCTGCACCAGTTTAGTTTCTCTTTCCCACTCTGTGTTGCTTCTTCAGTGGGTGAGAGAGTCTCTGGGGCCTTAGCTTGTCACCACCTCCCAGCCTTGTGTGAGCTCGCTTCAGCCCAGAACCCACTCCATCGGCCAAGGAGAGCTCTGCCTCCTGGGATCCTGGGAGGGGTCCTTGAGGGAGGATCCTGCCTCCTGTTCCCCCTGACTTCTCCAGACCTGAAGCAGCAGGTGGAGCAGCTGAATGACAAGCTCAAGAAGACCCAGGAGGAAGTGAACTTCCTGAGCACTTACATGGACCACGAGTATCCCGTCAAGGTGGTCCAGATCGCCAACCTCCTGCACCAGCTGGAGCAGGTGAAGGACAACCAGCAGGTATGTGAGCCCTGGCTTTGCCCTGATAGGACCCGGGGTAGGCAGGGCCCGGGGCCAACCTGCTCCTGCTGCCCCCCAGGATGAGCTGGATGACTTCAATAAGATAGGCAAGGTGGTCCTGGAGTCTTTGTCTGATCAGATCCAGATGAAGAAACAAAAGCTCGTGCGCTCTCTGGTGGCGGTGAGTAGCCAGCTCCGGCCTCCAGCCCTGCTTGCTTTCCCGTCCTCTGCCTCCGGGCCCCCTGCGCCCCTTCCAGCCTCTCCCGCGCACTGCTGCCCGGGAAGGGGCACATGGGGGCCAGACTCTCCTTCGTTCACAGAAAATGCAGCGTCCCAGGCAGGCGTTTCTTCTGCACAGGACCCAGGAGAACCAGAACATGGCGAAGTACGCGGACAAGTACAGAGAAGTGAGTGGGCCGGCAGGATGGGCCCCTGCAGGAGCAGAGGGGCGGGCAGACCCAGCACCTGTGGGAGACACGCTGGTCCTGACCTGGGCCTGGACTCGGAGCTGTTCCACCTCGTGCTCTGGAGGCGTGGACCCGGGTTGGCCTTTCTCCTTGCCAGTGCCATTGCTGTCCCTTGTTACTCCTCTGAGAGGGGATTTGTGGGGGCCTAGGCCTCGCCTCAGAAACCAGCATCCCTGGGCACCACCCTGGGCAACATCACCAAGCACGGCCTACTCCACCACATTTTACTGTCACCAGCCACCCCGTCTTCACCCCTAAATTTTTACCATTGAGCACCTCTCCTTACCAGTGTGAATGAACGTCACCATCACCTCCTTTGTGATAATGTTCATTACCTCCATCAGTCACCTCACCGTCTCCGTCAGCCCTCACTGACCCTCATTACTGAGCACAGCCTCTGCTCTGCAGCCTGTGTCCGTTCTTCATGGTGCCCTCACCTTTCTCAGACCATCAGACATGACCACTGCTCTGTGAGCCAGCCCTGCCCGCTGGAGAAGCCCCTCTCCGGAGGCCCCAAGTCCCTGGGACCCAGCCCAGGCCACTTCCCTGAATGTCTTTGCTCCTCAGCCATGTTGCTCTTTCCTTCCTCTGGTTGGGGTCGTATGGACTCTGAGCTTCCCCTGCTGTCCCTCTCAGTTTATCAGCCAGTTTGAGGAGAAAATTCCCAAACTGAGGGCCGAGGTGGAACAGCTCCGAGCCCGTGCCCGGGAACCCCGCGAGGTGGCGTTTGCAGACGTTCTGCTGCGGAGGCCCAGGTATGTGACCGCGCTGCAGCTTCTCAGGCTAGATGGGAGCCCCTGCCTCTTGCTCCCGTGTGGAAGGGACAACGCCTGTCACTCAGGAGCGTTTATTGAGTGCCAGCCTGATCTCACTTGTTCCTGCCCGTGACTGAGGTCGGGATTATTACCCTCCTCTGATCGGGGAAACTGAGGCCCACCTGGTGTCTGTCACATAGCGAGTGCTCGTTACGTAGGTGCCAACAGGAGGAACGGGGCTCTGAGAGGGCAAGCAGGAGGCTCAAGGTGACACAGCCAGGTTTCCAGAGGAGTCATTCCACTTCAAAGAGCGCTCGCCCTGAGGGGCCCCAGCACCTCAGAGCTGAGTTCCTGCTCCCTCTTGACCTTAGACCTCTGAGGGGAGCATCAGTCCGGTCAGACCCATTCCTTTTTCATTCTGGAGTGTTTGTGTGTGTGCATTCTTACGCGGTTGGCTGTGAGGTTTCAGATGGGGCTCCCCAGATAAGTACCGGTGTTCTCAAGAGCAGGGCTCCCCTGCGGGCATGCTTCCCCACCCTACAACCCTGGCGCCCCTGCCTCCGTGGCCTCTCACACCTCTCGTTGCTCTTCCTTACCAGGTGCACCCCAGACATGGATGTCACCCTCAGCATCCCTGTGGAAGAGCTGCTGCCCTTCTAGATGGAGGGCCATGGCCACCTGCCCTCCCTGCTCCCTTCCCCGGAGCCTGAGTCTCCTTCCAAGACCATATTCCCATGGGTGCCCTCCTCATCTGCCTCTCCTTTCCTCCCTCTGGCCTTTGGGTTTGGGGCTGCCACTTGAGCCAAGTGGGAATTTCCAGTCAAGCCCGCCCTTTTCTTCCACCAATAAAGCCGGATCTGCATTTGCTCTTTGCCAGTGCCTGGGGATGGACTTTGCCTTGAGGGCAGATGTGCTGGCTGCATCTGGGGCTCAAAACTTCTCAAGAAATGCCAGACTGACCCCCAGTCTGAATCTCCACGGCTCTGAGGCTCCAGGCTGCCCCCTTCCTGATTCAGAGGAAGCCCAGCTTCCCTCCCAATTTGTGCCCAGTCCTGTGAGGACCAGTGCCAGGGGGAGTTTAATACACTTGGAAACTTGCTGGGCCTCCATGGACAAACAAGCCCCAATAAAGCTAAGCGTAATGAAAAGGCTACAGAGAGACAGTTCGTGGTCATGGTCATTGTGGCTGAATCCCACCATGGTAGGTGTGTGGGAAGGGTTGCCCACGGGTTAGCAGGAGTGTAGGTCTGGGTGACAGCTCTTGGTAGGGAGGGACCAGCTCACATACATTTGAGGATATTTCTCTTGGGTGTCCACTTTAAGCTACTCTGCCCATGATTCCCTATCCACACCATATATTACCTCCACCTCCTGTGAAAGTTCACCTTTATGAGCTCTGAGTTGGCTCTTATATCCATGGAATTTCAGCAAAGTTTCTGCAAATTAGGATTATCAGGATTCCAAATCAGCATATTTGGGATCATGGGGGTGGTGGTGGGGCACTAGATAACGAAAGGACCCCATCATGTTATCTGCTCTTAGTCTGTCCACCATCCTTTATTGGAGCGTTGGAGGGCTGCAGGAAGGGGTGTATGTGGATGTGGCGGAGGAGGCGGGGGAAATCAACTTGCTGTTGTCTTTAATGGCAAGAACAGGTGTCTCCAGAGCATTTTTGCAAAGGTGTAGAATGCCCCACAGGTGAGAAAATTTAGCATAATAAAGGTTGTAGACAGGCATGACCCGGGCATTATTAGATGACCAGGCATTATTTTTAAATTTTAGCAGGGAATGTTTGAAAAACCTATTCTGATCAAGTAAATGTTAAGTTTCTCGTTCTAAGGCCAATTTCTGGTATCTTGTGAAGTGTCTTGATCTAAATCTGGTTTAGGACATCAGTAGGAATAGGAGGACTTTGGTGTGGTCCTGGGCAGCAGAGTCACACCATGTCCTGGTTATGCCCATATTGTGTGTAGACTTTGGTGTGGGAATACCTAGTATAATCAGAAGATGGCAGTAAAGGGCTAATAAAATTAAGCCCAGTTTGGTCATTGGATAGAGCATGAATGCAATGGAGGATATAGACACACATGTAATACCTTAATCTATAAAATATCAATTAAAATTATATCCTCAGATAAGGATTAAAAAGAAAAAAGAAAAAAAAGGAAAAATATTGCTATGTAATATGCTCAGTAAAATGCTTGAGATTTTACTGCCTATATTTTCTTCTAGGAGTTTTATGGTTTCGAGTCTTACATTTAAGAATTTAATTCATTTTGAGTTTATTCTTGAAAAAAATATATATATATAGTGGAAGAATGTGGTCTAATTTTATTTTTTTTCACAAATGTTTCTAATTTCCCCAGCCATTTGTTGAATAGAGCCATCTTCACACATTACAAAATGATGTAATGTGTAACACTCACATTACATCATTTTGTGCAGCTTTTTTCCTGGTTGGATTGAACCTGCAAATTGTCTCCTGAGAATACAGCAGCAGCTGCTGTACCATCTCCTTCCCCTTCCTGATCCCCACTCCCTACCCCCCACCTGAGCAGGATTCAATTATTTCCATTTCCTGTGAAAGATCATCATTGTTATCAGCTATGAGTTGGCCCTAATGCTCATGGAATTAAAAAAAAAAATAAAAAAAAAAAATATATATATATTACAGAGAGAAAGGGAGAGGGATAGAGAATTAGAAACATCAATGGTAGAGAAACATCAATCAGCTGCCTCCTGCATACACACCCCTTACTAGGGATATGCCTGCAACCAAGGTACATGCTCTTGACCAGAATCGAACCTGGAACCCTTAAGTCTGCAGACCAACACTCTGTCCAGTGAGCCAAACCAGTTAGGGCATGCCCATGGAATTTAAGCAAAGCTCCTATCTCGGGCAAATTAAAATTTGCATGGGTGAGATAAATAAGGGGGGATAATGCAAGAAGGTAAAAAGAGACAAGCTGTCACTGCTTCAGACGGTAGTTTGGTTATTAGTCCACATCTTGGAACTGGGGTGAATTTTTGTTAGTACCAGCATATTCAGTTATAAGTTAAAATGTTTAGATAACTATATTTAACTTAAACAGATTTGTGTAGTTATAGGCAGAGTCATTTTGAACAAACCAACGAGAACACTGCTGTAACAGTGACTAAACATTTAAAAAATATATATTTTATTGATTTTTCACAGAGAGGAAGAGAAAGGGATAGAGAGTTGGAAACATCGATGAGAGAGAATCATTGACCAGCTGCCTCTTACACATCCCCTACTGGGGATGTGCCCGCAACCAAGGTACATGCCCTTGACCGGAATCGAACCCGAGACCCTTCAGTCCACAGACCGATGCTCTGCCACTGAGCCAAAGCGGTGCCGGCTAAACATTTGTTTTTTTTAAACGTTCACTGTAAAAACAATTCTAAATTAAAGACAAATCTGTGCATATGGTGCTCATGGCCCTGAGTCATTCCTGAGAGCTGCAGGGTATACTCCATCATGGCGCATCAGTGTGACTCTAGACTCATTCTCTAAGGCTGGCTCTCAGCTTTGTTTTTGTTTTGTTTTGTTGTGTTTTTAAATATATTTTTTATTGATTTCACAGAGAGAAAGGGAGAGGGAGAGAGAGAGAAACATCAATGATGGGAGAGAATCATTGATTGGCTGCTTCCTGCACATCCCCTACTGGGGATCGGGCATGAAACCCAGGCATGTGCCCTTTGACTGGAATTGAACCTGGGACCCTTCAGTCCACAGGTCAACACTCTGTCCACTGAGTCAAACTAGCTAGGGCTTGGCAGTTTTTTTTTTTTTTTTTTTTTTTTTTTTTTACCAATGGTTCAAGTGAGCCAGTCACTCAAGAAAAATAACCAATAGTATTTTTGGCAACGATAAAATCCAAAGTATCCATCACTGAGTTTGAAGCTTCTCAGGCTTTAAAGACTTTTCTGATAAATATTTATATTAATTAATATGATATTTTGATATTGTATAATGAAACATCAAAATCTGGAAGATCTGTATAACTCTGAATTTATATTTTCCAAGGAACCAGTGCAGGAAGTGACTAAATCATGGATGGGTCATAGATCCATTTAAAGAACAATGTAGGCCAATGCATTTTAATGTAACGGAGTATAAGAAATTCTTTTGACTGGGTTTCAAACTCCTTGTTGCAATGAACCTTTAAGAAACTACCACATGTTTGAGTTTTGGTGTAATATCAAAGACTATCTACAAATATCGGAAAATATTCCTCCTTCTTCCAACTACACACATTTCAATCATAGCAACATATGGCAGCAGGATGAATACAGAAACAGATATGAGAATATAGTGATGTCTTCCATTACTAGAAAATCTATGAGATTTGCAGAAATTAAAATAGCCACTTTTCTTGTTCAATTTAAAAAATATAATTATTATGAAATAATATATTTATATTTGCATGTAATGAGTTTATTACTGCTATTTTAAAATCAATTAATAGCCCTGGCTGCTGTGGCTCAGTTGGTTGAGCATGTCCCAGTGCACTGAAAGGTCACTGGTTTGAGTCCCAGTCAGGGCACATACCCAGATTGCAGGTTTGATCCCTGTTTGGGGCATGTATGGAAGGCACCTATCAATGTTTCTCTCTTCTCCCCTCCCTCCCCTTTCTCAAATCAATAAAAACATTTAAAATCAATTAACTAAATATTTAAAATTTCTTAGTTTTAACCTCAAAAATGTAATTATTGATAGATATAACCCACATAAACAAGCTATCTAAGGTCTCCAATAATTTTTAAGAGTATAAAAGGGTCCAGAGTCCAAAAATATTTGAGACTGTCCTAGCTTATTCTAACTGATAGAACTGTAAGTTTTAGCTGCATTTAAGTATTCTTTTATTTGGCCTTTTATGTATTCATTCAACAAATATTCATTGAGCACTGCACATGCCAGTTATTCCAGGCCCTGGGGTTTCAGCAGTGAATTAGAGACGTAAGACCATTCACTTTTATGGAGTTTACATTCTAGTGTGCTTGGGAACAAAAAATCCCCCACCTAGACATATTATCTCAGAAAGCAGGTATGTCCTAGTGAGGATTTATCCCGAACTATTTGCAAGGCCCTGTTCTAGACTCTTGAGGTTTATCTGTGAACAAAACAAAGATTCCAGTCCTCGGGGAGCTCGATTATTAAGTAAAGGGAGGAAGAGGATAAGCAATAAATGTCACAAGTAAGTGAATTGTATGCTTTTTGTTTTTAACCCTCACCTGAGGATATTTTCCCACTGATTTTTAGGGAGAGTGGAAGAGAGAGGGAAAGGCAGAAACATCCATGTGAGATAAACAAATCGATTGGTTGCCTCCTGCACACGCCCCAACCAGGGCCTGGGCCAGGGAGGAGCCTGCAACCAAGGTATGTGCCCTCGACTGGAATCGAACTTGGGACCCTTTGTTCCTCAGGCTGATGCTCTATCCACTAGCAGGGGTCTTCAAACTACGGCCCGCGGGCCACATGCGGCCCGCAGAGGAGTCTGATCCGGCCCGCCAGGTTTTTTGGGCAGTGAGCGCAGCCGAGGTGTTACAGTAGGAATTAGTAGTTCATATAGTCCGGCTCTCCAGCTCTCTGAGGGACCGTGATCTGGCCCCCACTTTAAAAAGTTTGAGGACGCCTGCGACTAGGCCAAACTGGCTAGGGCTATGTTGGAGAAACTTATGACCTTGATTGTGGTGATGGTTTCACGGGTGTGTACTTACTCCAAACCCATCAAGGTGTATACATTAAATACCTACAGCTTTTTGTATATCTGTTATACCTTAATACAGTGATTTTAAGAAAGGGAACTGATAAGTGCCATGGGAAGAAGGGGCCCTGACTTAAGTCTGTGATTTTT